GATTTGTCCAAGCTTGCAGTAGAGGCTCTGGGTTCCCTTTTTGGCTATGTCGTTCCACTGCACGTTAGACACAAGAGCTTTAGTAGACCTGGACTAACTCCATTGAAAGATTCACTCATCATGGCTGAAGATGAAGTTGAGCCCCCGTTAGTCCAAAAGCAGAGGGCACCAGCGCCTGCTTCTGAGAGCAGACAGGTCCCAACTGTCGGTGATAAATTTCCCGAGGGAAAGCCCACCAAGCTTAGGTCAAGTAGTTTTAAAGACCCTACCTTGTCAACCAAGCACAGGTCTTCTAGACGACATGAGTATGCAGAATACTACGGGAACTCAGGTGAAGTTCCTCCATATGGGCACGTGAGGTCTAAAAGCCAGAAAGAAAGAACCAAACATCGACGACAAGACAAAGGTGTAGAGGCAGGAGTCGAGGCAAAACCTGCTGAAATGAAACCAGTAAACTATGAGGATCCAAAATATGCTCATTACAACATGAGGAGCAAGTACGGAGACTCTTTCCCGCGTTATTCATGAATAGGCCACTAAGGATTTAGTTTTATAAGCGAGGGACGTGCTTTTAAAGATGTACCTTTTTTGTCATGCAAGTTGTAACTCTAATACTAAAGGAAGCAAGTCGAGTTATCTGTTTTGTAGTACAAAGCGGGCCTTCACTTTTCATGTGTAAAATGTTAAGGATGCATAGGTCCCAGTCACAGATTTTCTCTTACTCTTATGGAGAAAGAGAAGAGAAAGGAAAAATCTTAAATTAGTGGTGTACGTATTGCCGGTGAGTGAAAGTAATAGGAAAAGGATGAGACGTTCATGTGAATTTTGATGTTGAAAAATGACAGCCGTGATATTTTTGATGATCAAATGCTCAACGAAATAACTTCACAGCTTGGTGCTAACTTGTGGAGAACCCTCATCCCCATCCCTTAATTAAGCCAGCAGGTGAGAGAACGACTCACAAGAAAGTGTATTAGATGAATATTGACTGCGTATACTGTATGAATTCATTTATTAATACTTGGCTATCATTTTATGAATTTCGCAAGAAAGTTTTGTATTGTTTATTAGGTGGGGTGTTATTTGTCACTAATACATGCAGACATACGCACACACCAGTTACATTTTCAGGTATAACTTATTTTTCAAGTTACTAACCCAAAACGTCATGTCTGTTATGATTTTATCTTAAGTGGCGTGATTCTTTTACGCTATGTATGTATAAATAAAAGTTAAAACTCTAATATCAGTGCAGTCAGAAGTAAAATTGGCATTGGAACAGAACTCTTCTATTGTTCTATTGCCGAATTAGACCTTGTTATTGATGTCGGCAATGCAAAAAGTGAGAGCTTGTTGAAAGTTTGACCGAACTAAAAATTAAAACCAATGACAGTTTTAACGTGATAATCACTAGTAAATAAAGAAAAGTTCCTCTACCTTATTTTTTTCACTTCTACAATGATGGATGACAGGTCTATTTGTGAATCACTAAAACAAATTGTGCTACTTAGGAAATTCGCGAATAAGGGGAGGTGGTGTGTACATTTACTAGTATATCTATCCTGTACCTATTTTTATTTTTATTCTAAAAAGAATGCAGAAAATGGATGTAACACATAATTTCTATCCAGAAAAAAAAAAAAAAGATTTCTATGCAATCGTACATTAAGTTCCTCCTGCTACACATCTAAAAGTAAATCTTCTGGCAACCATGTGGATAACTATTTCTTAGATAAATTTCTAATGGTGAAACTAAATCTGGTATTTTACATTAAATCAAACAATTTAACCTTAATATTTAAAAACTATAGTGAAAATGCATATCACTTTATCGTGATTAAATGTGTGTATGAAAGATACATGTCTTGGATTCATTAGTTTTGTGTAAATATATATGCGTGTAAGTTGTTATTCTTTTTTTCCAAGGTGCATGTAAATTTGGCCATTGTTCAATTAGTCTAATGGCATAAATGGGCGTACTCACGAGAAAGCAACTCAGAGCCCAACTACCAACTGAACTTTCCTCTTTAATATTATCCATAGTCGTAGTATGGTATTTCAACCTCGTGACATTCCCCTACATTACTCCTTATTGCTATTTTCTTACATCTCATTGCAGTTTTTGGAAAATTGTAACTCTTAACAATTTTCGAGAACTTGTAAACCACTATGGTTTATGTGTCTAACTCTACGGAATTTGTATGCTAAAAGAAACATGGGTTGTAGCGGATCGTCTCACGCCAAGCCAAACAGTCAGTCCTTTCTAGATTTAGTATCCTCTGTTAATTCTCCTTAATTAGTTTTGGATTAGAATAGATGGATGATTAATTGTGTTTAATTATTGATGCATACAACTACAATTAAATTGAATGATTATTTAAAAGTACTAACGTAGAAATGCATATAACAGGAATTGTGAAAAAGATAATAAGAAAGCCAAAACCATGGAAGCATCCACAGCCAATAACAAGAAGTCAGTTGATGCAGCTAAGGGAAGAGTTTTGGGACACTGCTCCTCACTATGGTGGTAAGAAAGGTATACTCTGATCTCACAACTGTTCAAATTCAGCCTACTTATTTGCAGATTGCATTTTGAATTTTAAACAATCTACTAAATGCTCCACTTTCATCTACAATAACCATTTGAAATAATCAAGAACGATGGAATGACTCATGCTCCTCCCCAATTGAGTAGGTTCGAATGGCTGCTCGAGCCTGTGTTGTATTCAGTTGTTAGTATGTGTTAAATTGTATGATCATCTTATTTAAACGTTTAAACTTAGAAAGATCGCATTCTTATTTACTTAATTAATTTGTATCCTTTAACATATCTCATGTGCGAATCTGATTCTAATTCACTAAATAAGCATATGGAAATTCTTTTTGATATTAGGTGGCAGTGCGACATCTCATTTAAAAGCTTAAGCTGCTAGAGAGAGCACTTTTATTTATTACTTAATTATAGTCGATACTAGAAACTCTTTATTTTGAGGGAGGGGGTTGAGATAATTTGCATTCCAACATTCAACAACCAAAAAAATCACTGCATATACTCTTATATCATTTTATTCTATGCTTTCCGGAGTTAGTTTATATGACTGCATCTTTAAGTGTACTGAGTCATTCGGCTTCAATTGAAGCTGTTTGGTTAGTCATTTCTCAATTTTCCCTCTCTTTTTTTTAATTGTCCAATATAACACTAAGGAACATGATATGCACAACTGAGTCATTCGGATTCAATTGAAGCGGTTTGGTTAGTCATTCGCCTAGATGTGACAGAGGAACATGTTACGGTTCTTGTTAATTCACTCTATGTAAATATAAGTTTCTTTCTCAAAGTCAACTTTCTCCCTTCTTGCTTTAGTGAAATAAGGGCGCTAACGCTATCTTCCTTCAGCTTGCTTCGCCCTATCTATTCATCTATTTTCTCAAATGAATATGTAGGGATCTCTCTTGTTCATAAATATTGAAACCAGATCAAAATCAAATAGCCCTTAGGTTCAGCCATTCAGACATACTTAATGGTTATGTCACTCTGCAACAGAAATCTGGGATGCGCTTCGTGCTGCGGCAGAAGCTGATCTGGACCTAGCTCAAGCAATTGTGGACAGTGGTGGGATCATTGTCCACAACACTGACATGACCGTCTGCTACGATGAAACAGGTATACTTATTACATGTGTTGCGATGCAGCTTCTTACATTCATAATTTAGCCCAATCAGCAGATTTTGAATGGAGATCTAGAGAATGATAAAGAACCTTCTGTTTTGGCATTTGGGTTAAAATAGTTCTTTAAAATATATTTAGAGCAGTTTTAGTTCTTTATATTTATCAAATTACAGAAGCATGATGAACCGTTTAAATTGAAGAAACAATCAGGATGGATGTCTCTCGATCATTTCTCCCTATTTGCCTCTTAAGAAAAACCATACTAGCAGCAAATATGTTAGTGTGTATGAACAAAGTTCCACGTATAAAGTAGAAAAGAAAAGGAAACTATTTATAAGGAGTTAGGATGCTCTTAATGGTGTGAGGTCTTTTGGGAAAAACCGTGGAGCTTTGGACCAAAGCGGACAATATCACACCATGTTAAGAGTATCTTTGGGCCATTTTAGCCCAATAATTGATATCAGAGCCAACAGTTTGGTTGTACGAGCATGGAGATGGCGGAGTGATGGTGTTAGGCGTAGGCCCCGGCTTATAAGGACTATTTTTAGACTAGTCGCAAACATAACGAAATATTTTTGTTATTTTCCTGGTTATTTGATCACGCAAAGGAGTTTCATCAAAAGTGCTAATAGGAAACTTTGTTGCAGGTACCAAATATGAACTACCGAAGTACGTTTTGAGCGAGCCAACGAACATGATAAGATATGATTGAGAAGATGAATAGTAGTTGAAGCTGGTGCATATGTTGTAATGTCCGTTTTTTCAGTCTTGAGTTTGGTTCTGTCATTTTCTTCTACCATCAACTATAACGTAATTCCACATTTGTCGCTACCACATAACCCCTTTTTAAGTTTAAAGTGGCGAAACTGAAAGCACCAATTCCTTTTTTCGTTCATAGTCGGAAAATTTGCTAGGAATATTAGGAGTTGGGATTCACGTACTGGTAGTATTTGGTTCACATTTACTGGAACAGTGAATAATTGTGAGTAATTGGATGCCAATTCCCATATTGAAATAAGTGTACAAGGTAACATTTTCAAACTTTAGGTTATGTAGTGCTTTGGTACATGTTATGCAAAGGAAGATATGGTTTGAGGACTTGAATGCTATGCTTCTTACACGGTAAATTAATTTTCTTATTTTGACATGAAATTGACAGAGTGGCAAAATCCTAACATGACAAGTGATCTGTCATAACTCAATGCCAATAAACCCTTTGGGGTGACCGAGTTGGTTGAACAATGGACTTTTCAAATGGGAGATCTAAAGTTCGAAACCACTTGCATACCTTCTCTATCGAGCCCGTCGCACGAAACTTGCCTATCTATCCTCCTGTGTGGTTTGCGGGTTATTACATAAGAGCTGGGTTTACCTTGTGCGCTCTCAAAGGATAGTGGTTGAGGTTCCCTTGTTACCAAAAAAACTCAATGCCAATAATTTCACCTTCCTGTCATCTGTATTTCCAAGCAATTCGCACATAGTTCAACACTAAAATGTGATAAAATTAATTTTGTGGAAAAGTGGGAAGGTGCTGGTTATTCATTGAAAAAAAATGTGCAAAATTGTTGTAATTTTTTCGAAATTGTTAGACTACAAAATTTCATTTCGTGGCTCATTCACGCTAGTTGGTACTGTAATGAACAATATTTTAAAAGGCAGGGGCGTGAGGTGGGCGCTTTACCAATTATGAAGCGAGGAGGGGCGTAAGCACCATAAATCTTTAAAAATTTTAATTTATAAATTAATAAAATAACATAATAATATAAAAATATAAAAACACATTAAAAATTTAAGAAAATTATAAATAATTACTCATAGAATTTTTAATAGCATAAACTATCAATAATGTTAATGTTACTACGAAATACACAACTATAACGTATTAACTTCCAAATAATAAGAAAATCATATTTTCTTAATAAATATTATTAAACTAAAATTTTACCTTCTTAAAAACTTCACCAGTACTATAAATTAAAATATTACTCCTTCATGAGTAAATACAAAATTGCTTTCAAATAGCAAAATAATAAAAGTTTAATAATTTTGAGAGACATAGAACTAAGACATTAAGGCCAATAGCAAGTGGAAACATAAATTTTGGGTATCTATTTAGAAGAATGTTCAAATTATATTCACCCTCATGGTGTTCTGAATTCGTACATATGCAATATTATGACTCGTTATTTAAGTTACTCTCAATCTTCATATTCCTATAGATGAATAAACCTTTAATCCTTTATTTGTTAAAGAATTTTGAAGGTCAATGCTGCTAATTAGGAAAATTGACACATGATTTGAGTAAGAATTGTTGGGCGAGCCCCGAGAATTGGGCGTTATGTGTTTAGCGTACAATCAGATGTTTCTTACAAAACTAAGCCCATGTGTCAGTCTCAGAGCATTTTAATAGTGCCTCGCCTGAGGGCGAGCCTCGAACGAAGGGGGAAGTGCACAGTTAGCCACTAATTAGAGCTGTATTTACTCTTAAGGGGAAGTACTCATGAAGTTAAGGACACCATTAAGCTTCATTAAGGACACCATTAAGGAATGTTTACTGGATCACTAATCATTCAGCTTTTGTGTGCTTTGACGTGGATAATGATAGTGTGAAAATAATGCCTAGTACTTCTATTCCCGAGGGGCGTAAGGGTGGCAATTTGAGCCCAAACTCATCCAATCCGTCTGAAGATTAATGGGTTAGGCTACAATATTTTAGCTCATGAGTCTATTTAGGCTAAGCCCAAGTTAATCTATTATTTTTTATAGCCCATTCTACCCATGAAGTAGCCCAAATACAACCCATGAAGCTCACTCCAAAACAAAGGGATCTCAACCCAACTTATCTAGAAATTTACTTAGTTACCACCCACCACAATTTTTTTTCCTGC